CAAGATGTTTCTTAAGGTCTTCTATTTTAAGATGGTCTGTAGGAGTTTTTAAGTAAATGACTAAAAAATAATCAACATAATCTTTTAATTGATCAATATGAAGTAATAAAAGCCGAATATCTCCATAATGAATGACACAGTCAAAAGTTCGTTTTTAAGGTAAGTATGACACTCTATTCTCTTATATTTTCTTCTTGTACTCTTAATGATAAAAATCAAAAAGTGTGTCTAAATCAGAATAATCTTTTTCAGTTATAAAAGAGGAATTTTTAAATGCGCTATTTACTTCGGTTAGGTAAGAATGAATTTCTTAATCTTGGCAAGACATGATAGTTCCAGAATTGTATAAAAGTGTATAGAAAATGCGTTCAAAGCATTTATAACTCATAGTGTCAAAAATTTGGGGGTAAATTTTTTCAGCTATCTCTATTTATTTGAGAGGTATCCATTTTATGTAGTGCTATGTTTCCAATCTATCGTTTGATATTCTTTAATCGTGATTTCTTATCCCCGTTACATAATTAGGTAAAACGGCAAATCTAATATTTTCATCAACCTCGAATAAGAGCTTTAACCATAAGGAATAATCGCAAGCTGTCTAATGATTGTACAAATAATGCTTTCTTATTTTATCTGATAGCCTAATTGCGTAATTGCTATGAGGAATATAGTTCACGAACAAAAAATAAAATTTTAATTTTGCAAAGCTCTCCACATAATTGTTGTTTTAATATTCCGGTTCTCCAATTTAAGAAACTGGTAAATAAGGTGAGCCACATAGCTCATACTCTTGATTTTTTCTAAGGAAATCTATCTAGTAATTTAACCTGGTTTAGAGCATAATATCGTCGTCATCTTGAATTACAAAATATTCTCCCTTAGCTTATAATATTGCGTAGTTTAATCCAAATACAGTATTCTAATTGGTATAAAGGTATTATACTCTTATTTTTGGGTGATTTGATACCAGCTGAAGAATTTAGAGTGATTTTGGATTATTAGAGCCATCATCTGAGATGACCAGTTCCCAATTGACATAGGTTTATTAAAGTACATGCTAGATAGACCTTAGTAGGTAGTAATCTCTATTGAAGCAAGTCATAATTACAGATGCTAAAGGGTGCTCATTAGGATTTAATCTTGCTTTTTCTAACTTGCTTAAATGGCTGTAAATCAATTCAATCTGGTTTAGACGCTCAATTTTAAGCTTTTTTAGTGATTTAAAAAGACCCTCATTGAAATTAAGATACAAGTCTATCATGAGATACCCAACTAGACCCAGGTTTTGCTCATCACATCCTAAAAAATCATAGGAGCAATTTAGAAGCTATGAGAATTGCAAAGTAGGAATTTTGATATCCCTCTTGTTCAAATAAGAATCGTATAACATAAATTTATCTGCATCTTGCTGAGGTTTAATGATTGAATGATCTACAAAGACATGATGATAGTTATTAAGGCTTATCTTTAAAACTGCCTCTCTCATAAAATAAAGGTTTTTAGACTTCACTATCTCGCTAATTACATAATACCTGTTGATTTAAGGAGATTGTTATAAAATATAAGCTAGATATTTTTTTCTAAGTAAAAGTGAAACTTCAAATCTGAAATCCATTGAAAATAGGATTAGATCAAGATTTCTGTTATAGTCTAAATCTATTAAGTAGGAGTTATCCCAAGGCTTTCCTGCATCATTGACAATTTCTAAGTCAGATACTATTGCATTACATTTACAAGTTTTAGCTTCCTTCACTTGATTTCTAATTCTGGTGATCTTACTTTACGTTTTTGTATGAATCATAACTATATACTCTCCATTTATTTAGTGATATATTCCTTGAAGAATCTTTGCAAAATCATCTATATCATTGGTTTCAATGAATTAAATAATGTTTTCCTATGCTTTTAACTTAAGATTTATCTGATCTAGGATTTACTATGATTTTACCGCAACAAAAACTTCATGATATAGAAATGTTTGATTCATCGTGTAATCAATATTCCTCTCTAAGTCTTAGATACTTCCATCTCCATATATCAAGATGGTGGCCATATTTTTTTTAAATTCAACTAATGGCTGATATTATTGATAGGTTATCTAAGTCCAGGCTATAATAAAGAATAATATATGTTAAAGATATTTCTTGACCATTAATTGTAATATATTATATTTTCTAATATTTTAATAACTTTAACTATTTAAAAATTTAGCATTTAGGGGTTTTGGGGTTTTGGGG